GGTCTCCATTCCAAGTCTGAACTACTTTTATTTCAGCATCCAAACATTTTTTTAAAAATATATTTTATTGATTTTTTACAGAGAGGAAGGGAGAGGGATAGAGAATTAGAAACATCGATGAGAGAGAAACATCGATCAGCTGCCTCCTGCACACGCCCTACTGGGTATGTGCCCACAACCAAGATACATGCCCTTGACCGGAATCGAACCCGGGACCCCTCAGTCTGCAGGCCGACGCTCTATCCACTGAGCCAAACCGGTCAGGGCAGCATCCAAACATTTTTAATAACAAGGTAGGATCTGGGATTGGTTTTTGTAGCCTTGGCTCACTCCTTGGCCTCTCGCGTGCTCCAAGTTCTGGCCCTTGGAGCTTCCATAGGGTTTGGTGTGGCTGTGAGGGGTTCCGGGGACCTTGCCAAAATGCGTGTACCCCTCTCAGCCCTTCTGAGGACCAGCAAGCAGGACAGTGCCACAGCCCTTAGGGGAGTCCAGGGCCAGCTGGTCGAAGGTGAGGACCTTGGCCTTGAGGATGCGGCTAGGGGTGGCTCCCGGACACGCACATCATCTGTTACAGTCCCTACAATCACAGCAGGTTTGCCTTCCCGGCCACGAAGCTTTGTTTTCTAGGAAAGGGACAGAGGCAGCCAGTTGGTGCCACTCATGAGCAACCTCTTCAGCACCACTTGGTTGAAGGTGGGGTTGGTTCCTTTGGCCAGAAACCTGTACAGCTTGGCCAACAGCCTCAGGTAGTCATCTGGCTCTTGGGCTCCTTGCGCTGAACCTTTTGGTCTTTCTTGTGAAGGATGTGGACTCCCATGATGGTGCCTCCTGGTCCACAAGTCCGGAAAGGGCCCAAGTCTGAACACCTTCTCCACATGTCTTCCCACCTATTTCTTCCCTTGGCTCCCCCCTTTCAATAGATAGCAGCACCAGGTTAGCTGCTCAAGCCCAAAACCTGGGCATCAGGCTTCAGTTCTCCTCTCTCTCCGTAACGACTCGACTCTCTCACCAAGAACCACTGGTTCTCTCTCCAGTATGTACCCCAAGTCCAGACCCTTCTCTCCTTTCTCAGTGCTTCCCCCCTATACCAGGTCACATCACCTCTCATCCGAGTCTCTGCTCTAACCTCCTCTGATTCATTCTCCTGTAGCATCTAGGTAAGCTTTTACACGTATAAGCCAAACAACAACAACAACAACAAAACCCGTATAAGCCAGGCCTTTCACTACCTGGTTTAAACTCTGTACTGGCTTCCTTAGCACATAGAATAAAACCCAAACTCCTTACCAGCTGGATCTGGTCCCTGCCTCCCTCCTGCTGGTCTGTAAGCTCTCTGAGGGTGGGGAATGCAGTATTTGTTCGGTTCCCATAGAAAAGGCTGGGCCCAGTATGGAGCAGCTACTTCGTCCATGTGTTTGAATGGCTGAATTGATGAGTGCTTTGACATCTTCCAAGGGGGGTGGGGTAAGCTGGTCCCGTAGCCTGGGCTCCAACCTGCCCCATTAGGGGTCTGTCTCATCTCTCTTTCTTCCTCTCAGGAGGCCTGTCTGCTGGCAGCCTCCTAATTATATTTTACTTGACTATAAATCTTTCCGTTAAATGTAATTGAAAAACATACCTTTCGAATCATCGCATTAACCTAGCATCCACTCTGAGGCAGTAATTAAAGACTTCCTAGAATCTCCCACTGGTTTGGGGAGGACTGGCTCAGAGATCATCCTCTGCCAACCCCAAATGTGGAGGCATCAGTCCTCCTGCCCCCAGAGAAGGTAGAGGCACAAACCCAGGCTGCCCACAGGTCAGGCTCAGGAGCTTAGCATGTCCCCGTCTTCTCTCCCCACTGCAGGACTAAGACACTGGGAGCAATGCCCAGCCCCAGCCCAGCACTCCTTCCGCAACAGTCCCCTCTCCTGGGCTCCTGGCTCAGAGCCGCCTCAGGTGGAAGGTCAGGAAGGAAGAGGAAAGGGAAGGATCAAATGCTTTCCCAGCACCTTAAGTGAGTCAGGTCTGTTCCAATCAGTCTTTGCTCGCAGCTCCCCAGAGACAGGCTGAGGAGACCTACGCTGTGAGAAGTCTGCAACACGGGAGGGTTAGAATTCAAATCAAAAGGCCAATGTGTTAGAACCTACGGAATAACAGCGCCTCCTTTCGGAGTCCCAGTGCTGCCTGTGGTGACAGGCGCCCTCAGGCCCATGCCTCTCCCGCTCCAGGACTCCAGCCCCTCAACTCTACTGGTTTCCTAAGCTCAAAACTCGGGGTCATCCTTGGCAATGCTCTTCTACACCCCACACCGGATTCAAAAGCAAAGCTACCTGCTCTGCCTTCAAAATGAATCCATCCTCATGGGTGCCTGGATTTCTCTCTCTCTCTTTTCTCTCTTGGTCTTCTTTTCTTTCCTGCCCTAGACACATGGTTCACTCATCTCTACCTCTTGGGCAACCCTCATCACCAACTCCCTAACCTGTACACTTATCCCTCCTCCTCCTCTCCTTCTGCTTTGCCCTGACCAGCCCCTGACTCTTCCCCACTCTTAGTTTTCACACTCAACGCTGGAGAACATCAAATGGATGGTCTTCGCAGGCTACTGGAAGAATAATCAGTCTCACCACCTGTCTTCCAAGAACGATGATGTTCACTTACTGTACGACTTGGGCCAGGCTCTGAGTTGAGCGCTTTAGACAAGCAGTCACCAACTGGTGGTCCGTGAGGTCCGAAAGGTTGGCGACCGCTGCTTTAGACCAGCACTGTCAGAACTTTCTACAATGACAGAAATGTTCTAGTTCTGTCCTCATCAATATGGAGTCACTAGCCAATGTGAGGGTTTTTTTTTATTTATTGTTTAAAGTATTACATATGTCTTCTTTTTCCCCCATTGACCTCTCCCCGGCCATTTCTACCCCCCAGCACATGCCCTCACTCTCCCCCCACACACACAGTTGGTGTCCATGGGTTATACTTATATGCATGCATACAAGTCCTTTGGTTGCTCTCTTACCCCAACTCCCACCCCTGCCTTCCCTCAGAGGTTGGACTGTCTGTTTGATGCTTCTATGTCGCTGGATCTATTTTTGTTCATCAGTTTATGTTGTTCATTATATTCCACAAATGCGTGAGATCATGTGATATTTATCTTTCTCCGACTGGCTTATTTCACTTAGCATAATGCTCTCCAGGCCCATCCATGCTGTTGCAAATGGTAAGAGTTCCTTCTTTTTTACACAGTTTACTATTCCATTGTGTAGATGTACCCAATGTGAGGTTATTAAACATTTAAAAGGTGGCTAAATGTGACTGAGGAAATGGATTTTAAATTTAAATTAATTTAAATGTGGCTAGTAGCTTCCACTTTGTTGGGGGGGGGTGCAGGTTTAGACACATTATTAATCTTTATAATTCTCTTGGGGAGTAGGTATGACTATCCCCATTTTACAGGTGAAGAAGAGTAGCTAACCAGAATGATCCTTGAAGGCAAGGATCTTTGAATATCCCAGTGCCTGGCACATAGTAGGATATCAATGAAAATACGTGGAATAAAGGAACAAACCTGCCCCAGATACTTCTACCTTTGCAATGGGAGGGCTCAGATTCTAATTTGAGTCTGTTTGCTTCCAGAGCCCAACTTCATTCCCTCCAATGTATTTTCTCTTAAATATTCTCTCCAGTCCTTTCCCCAAGTTCTCTCCCTTAGGGTGACCCTGGGCTGACCCAGGAGTTCCCTATCCCTGAAATGTTTAGCTCAGGCAGGGATATGGGTTCCTTTATATACCCTCAGCTCTGATGCCAAAGACTTTGACTAAAACTCAGATCCTCCTCCCTTCAAGGCAGGAGCCCTGTGGCCCAGTTAGGTCTCCTCCCTCCCCCTTCCTGCTCAGGGCTATTCCTCTTCCTCTCTGCTGAGGAGGGGCTGGGCTGAGGAGCCTGGTCATTTCCTCCTTTCAGTGGAATAGTCTGGAAA